AAGAGGGTTGTTTTGCCTCCCTGCATAGAAGCAGTATCACAGGGCTGGGGCGAAGGTACCCCCCTTGCCAATATTGAGTCTGCAGCTCCTGCCCTTTGGAAAAGGCAGGAACTCATCCAAAAATTCACTGCCACAGTGTTATCACAGTCACCTTGATCAGCAGCAAACACCCCCAGTGCCATCCTTGGCCTCCCCATCACTGCCAGGTACTGCTCACCTCTGTTTTGCACCATAGCACTAGCATGGGAGTTTTGGAATGCTTCTTTTTGGTGAAAAAAAAAAATGGTTTTGTTGTTGGATAAAAGCCTTTTGGACCACCTAGGTCCTACCAGAGTCAAACTTCACAAGAAGTAGGATGATACCACTGCCCCAGGACAGATATACACCTGAAGCAGACAAGACATCCATTTGCTGTGGCCATGTTTCGAAATATCATTATGCTGAAGACCACAGTGAAATAGTTTTAACATTTGGCAGGTTCTGCTTGCAAACAAACTCGTTTGTGATCTCAAATGCTACGACAGTATATTTGCACAGTCAGGAAAGAGATTGCTCAGAGCCTGGTCCCTGGTGGCCAAGTTCAGGCTTATGAGGTATGTCTGGGGCTGGGTGTTAGAAGGAATGCTCATCATTTTTTATTTGACAGTTTCTTTTGGTGATTAAGCACCTTCAAAACACTGATAAATTTGCCCATCTGCACACACACAACTGGGCTTACATATGGGGCTGGCAGTAGCAGCAAGGGATTCTCCACGTCCTAAAGAACCAGTTATCCAACTGGTGAGTCCAAGGCATAGTCAGGCATTTACCCTGCTGCAGCTCAGAAGTAGGCCTGCATATAACACAAGGGAGAGATTACAGTAGTGCCAGCTTCCCATCACCCAAGGATCGGGATTTTCCACAGCTGCTTCTCACAGGCACCTCCGTATAAATGTCTGTGCTTGGCTGGTTACAATGGGAATTGCCATTCATCACGGCATGAGGGGGCTTAAGCTGTCTCAGAGCAAGTTGTCAGTTAAGCAACGCTTAATATAGAGCAGTACGAGACATGGCCTCGCAGCTAAAAAGCCTTAAACATTTCAGATGCAGCAGCTTCCAAGCTACCTTCTGCAGTACTCATTATTATTTTCCTACTGCTGAGAGGGAGCAGCCAAGACAGGCACTTTGTGTTCATTACCCAGCGTAATATTCACTGGTCTATTTAATTAAAGCTTAGAAAATGTACTTGATGAATTAGAAGTTACTGGGCGTGGGAAGGGAGGGGGAATGCAGAAATAGATTAACACTGGCTGATCTTTTCAACTGTTTAAAAAATTATTTCTTTGGGTTTTACACTCACAAAGTCTTGTGGGGTGTTTCCCCTTCTCACGGGTACCTCATTTCTCATAGCAGCAGTTGCTGGCTACCAAGGAACCTCTTGTAGGAGCTGCTTGAGGCTGTGTTGCAAGAGGTCTAGCAGAGCTGAAGCATCAGACACATTGCACTGCCTGTTTCTCCGTCCAGCCCATCCATTATTCCCTGGATCTATCAGCTTCACACCACATGGAGGAATGCTGCTCTCAGGGGAGTCCTCAACAGAAATCTGAGAGTTGCCCCTTAAAACTGATCATCTTGAAAGATGCTGTAAGAAAGGGCTTAAAAGCTTAACAGGCAAAACAGGCAGAGGAAGGCAGATGAGGGAGGAGTATTTCCCAAACACAGCCCAACAGCCCCAAGCAGCTAAATGATTTTCTGAAGGTCATCAATGAAACTCGTGTCCAAGTCAGGAGTTTAACCCAGATTTTTTTGCTTGGTTCATTGCCTTAGCAGCTGGATGCTTCTGCCTGCCTCCTTAGTCACTGACATTGGCCATTGTGGATGCTGTTTCCTTTCCCTAAGAAGGGGAACTAACACAGGCAGAGGTCTGACAGTCAGGATCAGTGCATAGAATGTGTCTTTCCCTTCCCCTTTCTGTGAATTCAGGGGAGCCTGCTCCAGTTCGGGTTTTCCAAGCTTGCCACACAGAAAATCCCACAGGAGTTCTCTGCAAATCTGTTTTCTTTTAAGTAGCACTATTTCCCTGGTGCACATGGTTTGCATTTGTCTGGGTGCATGTGTGCTAGCCAGTAGCTCCCCAGCACACTCTCCATTCTGGGGATCACATGAGAATTGGGCTTTCTTTGTGAAGATGGAGAATTATGTGCAGGCTCTGTGCTCTGAGAGACTCAATCTGGTACAGAAAATGATTGTTCATGTGTGTCTATGTGGAAAGCCTTGGCAAAGATCCTAGCAGCCATAAGAAATGCAATATTGCCCTCTAGTGATGGTGGGGATGGTCTCGTTTGATCTGAGGAAATAAAAAGCTTTTGGGGATTAAAAATTGGAATAAATGTTCGTGTTTTCTTCTGACCCGGGAATTAAAGATCCTACTGTGACAACTTGGAGAGCGCTGGTAGTGGTGATAAGCAGAGGAGGTTCTTCAAGACTCACAGAATGTGAAAAATAACCCTTTTCCTCCATGAATTCAGCAGATGGAAAGCCAGCTGCACTCAAGAGAACAGATCTAGTAAGAAGGTTTTCAGTGCAGCACCGGTTTTGCATTTCTAAAGCCCAGTGTATTTTTACTTGCCAAAAAATGAGAGGTGGTTTTAAAGACAAGAGGTGAAACCCAGTAGAAACCAAGAAAAGAACCATAAGACCATGTTGTGCTTCATGATCCCTACATTCAAATGTGTGGGGGGGGTTAATTTGGGGTTTATTTTTATGTCTCATTTGAACTCTCCTGGAGGGGGAGAAGAGGGAGATGACAATAGTAGGAGCTCCTCAGAAGATGAACATGAGCTCAAAATGTTCCTGTCACTCCAGTGAGCATGAAGTTGGTTGTATCTGCCAGGAAATACACTGTTCTGAAGAGCCTTCAGAAGACATTTATGAGCACTACAAAGCTTTGATCTTTACCCCTAAGAAGGTTATATTTAAGGCCCTTAATTCTGCAAATAACTCAACATGGGCAATCCCTCCAGTGCTAGTGTGAAGCCCCAGGAGTGCCAGCAGGTCTCTGAGCTCCACTCCCAGGGTCAGGGAATACGGTTTCCCTGTAACTGGACCCTGCATCTCAACCCATGTTTCTAAGGCATCTTGTTCTTTTAAGTTCCTGATGCAGACAGCATTTCTCTGGCACCTTCCCTACTCTAATTGCCTCTGACAAGGCACAGTAGTACTGGAATTTATGTAAGGAACATTGCTGCCACAGTACTGCGACTTAAAGATCACTGTAAAGACAAGGACGGCAGACAGATGTGTTTTTTTCTCTACTTAAAACACAAAGAAAAATTCACTTTAATCACTCACTGAACCTATCCAGGCTTTCTCTGTTACTACTGGAACTCACAACACACTTATATGTGAGAATCAGTCATTAACTGACAGTATCCTGAGCTTCTTTTCCCCATAAAGATCTCAAGGCAGAATTAAGAGCTGAGAGTCAATTCAAGCCAGTGGTAAAACTTTCATGGAGTCCAGTGACAAAGGATCAAAATTAACGAGTGGTGTCCCTCAGGGATCAGTGTTGGGACCAGTCTTGTTTAACATCTTCGTCGGTGACATGGACAGTGGGATTGAGTGTGCCCTCAGCAAGTTTGCCGATGACACCAAGCTGTGTGGTTCGGTTGATACGCTGGAGGGAAGGAATGCCATCCAGAGGGACCTTGACATGCTTGTGAGGTCGGCTGAGGCCAACCTCATCAAGTCCAACAAAGCCAAGTGCAAGGTCCTATACCTGGGTGGGAGCAAACCCAGGCACAGCTACAGGTTGGGCAGAGAAGAGATTCAGAGCAGCCCTGAGGAGAAGGACTTGGGGGTGCTGGTTGATGAGAAAATGAACATGAGCCAGCTTCAGTGTGCGCTCGCAGCCCAGAAAGCCAACCGTATCCTGGGCTGCATCAAAAGGAGTGTGACCAGCAGGTCGAAGGAGGTGATCCTGCCCCTCTACTCTGCTCTTGTGAGACCTCACTTGGAGTATTGTGTGCAGTTCTGGTGTCCTCAAGATAAAAAGGACATGGAACTGTTGGAACAAGTCCAGAGGAGGCCACGAGGATGATCAGGGGACTGGAGCACCTCCTGTATGAAGATAGGCTGAGAAAGTTGGGGCTGTTCAGCCTGGAGAAGAGAAGGCTGCGTGGAGACCTCATAGCAGCCTTCCAGTATCTGAAGGGGGCCTATAGGGATGCTTGGGGATGGACTCTTCATTAGGGACTGTAGTGATAGGACAAGGGGTAACAGGTTAAAACTTAAACAGGGGAAATTTAGATTGGATATAAGAAAGAAATTCTTTCCTGTCAGGGTGGTGAGGCACTGGAATGGGTTGCCCAGGGAGGTTGTGAATGATCCATCCCTGGCAGTGTTCAAGGCCAGGTTGGACAGAGCCTTGGGCTTGGAGCGAGGTGTGGGTGATATGGTTTATAGCGAGGTGTCCCTGCCCATGGCAGGGGGGTTGGAACTTGATGATCTTAAGGTCCTTTCCAACCCTAACTGTTCTATGGTTCTAATTCATACATATCATGGGCTTTCAACATAATTACAAATATTTGGGTAATTGGCCAATGCAAAAAGGTGGGTTTTTCTGACTTTGAGGGTTTGGGCTTTCTACTGAGCTCTGAGAAGTCATCTCAGCTCAAATAAAACCAGGTTATTGGCACCCCCAGTATCAGTACTCACAGTACGGATACATTACACACGGTCCTTAACTGTTGCTGGTTGAGTACTCTGCAGCCATTGCTGTTACATGCTGGCTACCTCAAATACGTAGAGAAACCTTTATAAAACTTGCCTTATGCAGAGCCGATGTGGACAGGAAAGGAACCCAAAATTGGGGTTTTTTTCCAGTGAATTTGTACAAGATGCAGGTCAACAGCACAGAAATGCCATCACGACTCCATCGACCACGTTTTCCACACAATGAGTGTGGTTTCTTGTTTTGCCCGAGTTCTCCCGTGTCTCACTTTTCTTCCTTTCCCTTTCAGGTTCTACATTGAAAGCATCTCCTATCTAAAGGACAATGCCACCATTGAGCTGTTTTTCTTGAACGCCAAGTCCTGCATCTACAAGGTAAGGATTCGGGAAGCTCTGGGTGTCACCAGGGCTGGCTGAGACACCTGAATCTGCTTTTTCTGCCCCAAAGTTCATGCTGGTTGAACACAGAATTCAAGGTGCAACCTCCTCTTCCCTCACTCCTGCCTCCGCACTTAGCATCAGTTTCCACGTCAGAGATGTTCTGAGGTAAAACAAGCCTGGAAGTAACCCTTGTGGCTGGCAGGAGGGAATCTGCGGCTGCTAAAATTATAAACTGGCTTGTTCTTAGGAGGAAATGGCTGGGTTTGTGCCAAATGAAGCCGCTGCTGAGGCGCCGGGCTCAGCTAGGGGCTCCCGCCCGAAGAGGGCGGTAGTGTCTGCGGCGCGGGCGCCATCTTCTGGGCTAGCATGGGGAGGGGGGGAGTCTGTGAATGCAGGTGTGGGTGTGCAAGGGAGGGTGAGTGTGCAAGGGAAAGGTGACAGCGCAGGAGGTGGTGTGAGTGTAGGAATGGGGTTAGGTGCGCGGTGCCGAGTGTGTGAGGGGCGTGGGACTGGATGTGGGACTGTAACTGGGAGTCTGTGTGCCTGTGTCAGTGTGCTCAGGATGCGTATGGCTGTGTGTTTGTGGCAGGAAGAGCCAGAGGTTGTGGGAGTTCTTGTAACAGTCTTCTGATACCTAAAGGCCTGATCGGAAAGCTGGAGAGGGGCTTTTTACAGGGGCATGTAGGGATAGGAAGAGGGGGAATGGCTTTAACCCGACAGAGGGGAGACTGAGATGAGCTCTCAGGCAGAAGCTCTTCCCTGTGAGGGTGCTGAGGTGCTGGCACAGGGTGCCCAGAGAAGCTGTGGCTGCCCCATCCCTGGCAGTGTTCAAGGCCAGGTTGGACACAGGGGCTTGGAGCAACCTGCTCTAGTGGAAGGTGTCCCTGCCTGTGGCAGGGGTTGGAACTGGATGAGCTTTAAGGTCCCTTCCAACACAAACCAGTCTGGGATGCTATGATTCTATGCTGGAGTATGTGGATACAGGCATGAGCAGGGGTGAGGGTGTCTGAGGATACATCCTGAAGATGACCTTGTACAGGAGCAAGCCATGCATAGGGAAGCGTTTCTTTGTGCCAGAAATAGGCCTGCCTGATAGGTGACTGAGAACACCAGTCTGCTGTCACTGACACCACTCAGAGCTGCCCATTGCAAGGCACGTTGTGTTCCAGAGATAAGGGTGTCCTGGTATGGCCTTCACTCCCCCACTGGAGTTCTCATTGCAGAGCCATGAAGCCTCTGATGCCACAAGCACAGGTATAAGTAACAGAGCAGAGCCCAGTTAATGAAGCAGGCTCAGAACCTGCTGAGGTGCAGATGTGTAGGATGGGGAGAGGCTTCTCATCAGCTGGGATTCCCTAAGAGGATTCCTCCCACCTCCCTCTGTGCAGGCAGAGGCCATTCCTGGTGACTCACCTCCATCTGCCAGGGAGGAAGTGGTAGGAAAAGACAGCTGGAGTGATTGTACCACCATCCCACAGCCCTCAGCAAGTCTGTGCCGTGCTCAGCCAGCTACCTTATATGGAACCTAGAGCCTTGCTTCCTGACATCTGCATGTCCTAAAGTGCAGGGACTAACTTTGCATCAAATGCAGGGTAGGAGCTAGAAAATGCCTTTTTTCCAGTGCCCAGGAAAGAGGCAGGGCTGCTGAGCTGAGCTGTGCAGAGCTTTGCTAGCTGGCAAGGCTGCAATTAGATGTGCTTAGTCAGCCCTCTGCAGCAACAAGCTCAGTGAGCATCCCATTTTGGTTCCTGGGGAAAGTTCCTTTTTGAAGCATTGCCAGGAAAAGCTTACATTGTTGTTCTTTTTTTGGAGAAAGCTTAATAAGAAGAAGAGGGGAAGGGGGGGGGGGGGGAAGTGCCTACAGATCTAGGTTGGTCTATTTTGGTCTGACCTCTCCTGAAACCATTACTTTGCACATTCGAGCTGACTGTCATCTCTATCCAAAAATAGCTCTGCTGGATTCCCAGTCTCCCATGCGGGTTCTTCCCCATTTGACTTCCAGCCACAGTAAGCTGTGCTGTGCTATTAAAATAGGTGTTGAATTTGGGTGCAAAGTCTCCACTAGGATGCAGGGCGAGCACCCAGTCAGCATTCCTGGAGAATTCCTCTAGGTGTAGAAAGGGGGATTCAGTGCCTAAGCACAGCCAGTGCTTGTCATCCCTGCAGCTAGTAGTTGGTGTTGCATGCTCCCAAACCTTGAAAGCTTCCTTCCTGTACCAGTTTTCTCATTGGACTTACCATGTATGCCTTCACCCCAGAAAGACCATACTGTGTGTGAAATGAGTGGTTCATAATGCTATGCTGGCACTTAAGACATTCCCTGTTAGTTCTTATAACAGCATCAAATGTCCCCATGCTCCATGCTCCATTTTGGAAGGAATAAAGCTGAGGCCTGTTTAGTTTGGGGCTGCTGGTCCATTGGGTTGCCAACTGACCACATTGGATACTCACCGCTCCTCCTATTGTGTGATGAGGCATTCATGGACCAACACACCCAAACCCCAGCAAGCCACTGTTGCTCAGAGAGGCCAAGCCACATTTGTACTACCAGAGGTTGGCATCAGGCACCATCCCTCGGTCACTCAGGCTGTTTAGTTACTAACAAGTTCTGGCACAGGTTTTGGCCTGTGCCAACAAGCCCTGTTTCAGGCATTGCTTGGGCACTGTTCAGGAATGAGCACCTGCTCCCAAGAGGCAACCCTGTGGAGGTAATCCTATCCAGAAATGGGGGAGGGAAGAAGAGTGTTTAGTCATGCACTACACTGTGCCATGTACCCTTAGGGCTCTGACCCACTTCACCTACTCATATAGACTCGCCATAACATCAACTTGTGGTTGCAGAGGCTGGTTTGTCCATGCAATGCCTGGTGCTTCAAGACGGGAGGGACACCAGGCACTTTGTCTCTACTCTGTATTGCTCTTTGCCATGGGATATATGTCTGCCCCAGCACAGCCCTGCCTCCAGCTGAATCCTCATCTCACACCAGCCACTTCCCTGGGCACATACACATGGTTAGTGCAGGTGCCTGTGTGAAGCAGGCAGCTCAGCTGAACAGGGAAGGTGTGTTTATCTCCCACAGCAGAGCTCGTTTTCACTCCTCAAGGAGTTGTTACGAAGGAGATGAAGGAAGTGCTTATATTAAAAAGATGGCACTGGTGAAAGCCAAGGACACCTGGATCTTATCCTCTGTTTTGTTCCTTTTGTTTTTGATTTTGCCAGAGACAAGCCAACGCAGCGATTGTGGCTTGTAAATGAGGTGTGGCCATGACTTGGCTGGAGCGTGGATCACAGCACTCATCTATATTTAGATCACTCGTCTCTTGCCAGATGAAGTAGAATATTAAAAACAGCAGCTTAAATAAATACAACAGAAAAGCCACTACAGAAGCGAGCTGAACAGCTACCTAGTTTACATGGCCATGTACGTCAGAGCTGATACAGGAGCTCTGATTGCAGAATAGAGGCCTGAACAGGATCTCTGTAAAAGCTCACTAGCTTCCCAAAATCAGGGGCCAGAGACTCAGGAGCACACACTTGGCCACAAGATTAATGCTTGTGCCTCCTGTCCCAATCATCTTTGATGCCGAGTTTGCATCCCACACATTTAGACGGAGCAGTTCTTGGACTCCTTTGTTCTATGACTGCTATCTGAGGCACAGAAGGACACTGAGAAAATCTGATGGTACCATCAGTGTCCTTTATGGGACTGTGGTGTCCAAGCAGAATGCTCACAATTTCACCTGACCCTCCAAGATTGCTTTCACTGGGAGCTGGATCCTCTAGAATGAAGCAGGAAAGATTTACCAAACAATTTTTTATCACAGATCATGCTCAAGGCACCTCCAGTCCCAGTGCTCATGGGGATAAAGGGGCTGAAAACAAAGCTCCCATCCTGCAGGAGGGAATATGGCTCTATTTCCTGTGAGTTTACCCTGGGCAAGAGCCGGATGAGTTCTGTGGGGGCTTTGACACAACTCAGTGAAAATAAACTTTCTCATTTCCTTGCTTCTGTGAGCCAAGGGCAATGTGCATTCCCCTGAAGCATTTGGGGGAGAAAAAGTGTATTCCCCAGACTACCCTTCACTACATCACACAAGAAAATTTTTATTACTCTGATCCTCCCCTTCCACCTGCCTTCTCCTCCTTCCTCCCCAGGAATCCCTTCATGCCACATCCAGTTACGCTTCATTTACCATGCTATTACACTGAATATTTGGCTTTTTCCACATCTGAGTGGGCAGGTTCGCCCTCACTTTGGTCTCCAGGAGCACAGGGAGTGCTTTGAAGCCCAGCCAGGGGAGCAAGCTGGCACTGCATGCTTCACCATGCAGTAGCCAGGTGGAGGTGCACTTCCTTCTAATGGAGGCTCACACTCATCTTCTTTTTCTTTCTTGTTTTCTTCACCTTTCAAGGAACTCATTGAGGTTGACAGTGAAGTGGTGTTTGAACTGGCTGCATACATCTTGCAGGTAGGCACTCGCCTTCTCTCACTTTGTGCTCCCTCATGTTGCATTACATCTTTTGATTTGCCAAATCCCAAATAAGAAGGGCAGGGATTCCCCCAGCTGCAGTGAAAGATGTCTTTACACAGTTTTCATCACGCATACCAGTTCAAAATGAGGACAGAAGTCTCTCAAACCAAACCTCTGCATGCATGGAGCACGAGCACATTCCACTGCCCAACGCTTTGCATGCATAAATGTATCTTATGTTTGAGCTGACATAGTTATCCAAGACCTTGGGGTATGATGTAAAGCCAGAGGACATCTAACTGATGAATGTGCTTTACTAGGTGCAATCCATATGCAAAGGGTTCTTCACCAGTGACTTGCATTCATTTCCCAGTGGAGCTTGGCCTTCTGTTGAGCTCCATAAGCTTCTATATACACAACTATCTGTATTCTCCAATGGGCAGTTTCCAAAGAACTTCTCCAGAAACGAAGAAAAAAGTTGCCTTTGAAAGTCCTGCTCTTGAGGAAGAGGGAAAGGGTCAGAGAGCGAATTACCCCCGGCCTTTGGGAAATGTGGTTCCCAAAGAGGAATCTTTTCAGGGTAGCAGAGGTGCTTTTTGTGAAAGCTCTTTTTAGAAACATGGCTGTGGGAGCAGATCAGAGATAACTGTCAGATGATCCTTGTTCCCCTTTCCTACAGTGTAATTTTAATTTTTGTTTCCCATCAGCCATGAAGGAAAACAGCTCCTATGAGGAGCCGTGTGAGCAGAGGAGCCATCTCATCAGGCTGCACTAATAAATAACAATGCCTTGCTCTTCTATAGTACTTTCCGTGTTAAAGAAGCAATTAATGCAGAGGGATTTGAATCTTCATTAAATTGTTTTATGTAACAAAAATGGAGCAAGAGAGTCAGGATGGGGGACTCAATTAAAAGTACATTATAGAAATCACATACTGGCTGTTGGGGGAATACACATCAAACAACAGGCTCATTGTGAGAAGCAGCAGTGGGGTTATGAATCTTTTGTCTGCTCATCCTAATGAATAACTGGAGCACTCAGTAATTGTGTACATCTTACTGTTGCTCAGCCAGAGCCAGATCTGCCACTGTACACCTGTGGCTGTTTCTCGTCACAAACACAGGATGTTACGTGAATTCCTGTAGTAGTTTGAAGTGTAACTTAATAGAAACAGTCAAAACAAGCCACACCTCTGCTGTCTGTAGCCAGAAATTACTACAACCCATGCTCGTAACAGGATCCAAGCGAAACAAGAAGGATCATACTGCATTTTGTTTTACTGCTGACTGCAGCATGTAGGTCAAAGTACTGAAGGATGAGGATATACCCAACAAAATTGGTTTTTAAATTCAGTATACTCATCCCTGTGCAGGCCAGGGCGTATCCTCTGGGTTTTGCTCTGTATTGAACTACAGTCATGATATGATCAAGGACTCCTTCTTATGAACCAGAGGAGAGCTTGTCTGCCCTTTAGTTCACTCGCAGGGAAATGGGAAGATAGCAAAGAATTGACAGAACTCATGTGATTTAGTCTGCAGCCTTATTTCAAGTTGTGTTACCAGAACAAATTAAAGTTCCACCAAAGCTCTGAACTTTACTCCAGCCTCAGGACTGAAACATCACTGGATGTGGGCTGACAGGTTTTGTGGGTTTATGGGCAGATGTAAAGACAAAAGGCCTGGATGCAAACCCCTGTCCTCTTGGCAGTGCAAACTCACAAATGACGTACTTGCACTGTGCTTCTGTGTAGCTGATGGCAAATGAGGTGCTTTAGCAGGCACCATATGAAATTCATATTGCCTGTGGGAAATGCAAAATGCACATTGCATCTATTGAGGAGGGGACTCACCAGATTTTGAGGGTTCATGCAGTAAGACTCAGGTACTAATCTAGCTGATGGAGTAGAAGATTACTAGCCCTTTAACATCAGGCTGTGATGCTAATAAATAGAAATATGTAGATATATAAGTAAGGGAGCTGAAAACTCCCCCAGGCACTCAGCAAGGAGTTAGAGGAACCTGTGTCTGACATCACCTCAGAATCTGCCAGCATTTGGAAAGTCTGAACACTAGAAAATATCCAGGATAATTGTAGAAAGAGTCAGGGGAGTTGCAATTTCAGAGGCTAAAAAGTCACTGGGAGTTCAGAGATCTTCTAGTAGTGTAACAACCACACTGACCCCCAAAATTACTTATTTACCAGCATTATTTCCTGCTATTTCTTGGGTATCCACTATCAGGATGAGGAATCATCTGGCCCTGTATTGGAGAACCCTCTGCCCAGCTCACTACGTGTATCATGGCACTTGACATGCGAGACTGGTTCCAAAAAGTGCATGAGGAATCACTTACAATAGGAAATTGCTGCTAAATGAATTCTGCAAATTGAAGCTCTTGAGCAGCCTTTTTCTTGATTTTTCTTCTGTTTTTAATGCTATGTTGTTAATTTTTCTTCCTCATTTTACAGGAGGCAAAGGGAGATTTTTCAAGGTAAGTGAACTTAAAAGTTTTTGTCTTTGTGCGGTGTGGGAATGAATCTGATAGAATCACTGTGTGAGTGCCGTGACTCAGTTGTAGCTGTGTAGCAACAGGAATGCACTGCTAACACACACATCATGTTTCCTGCAATCATTTCTTCACAAAACACAGCCTTTGACCAGAGCATGCGTTGCAAACAGCATTGTTTGTGACTTTGTTGTTGACAAATCTCTTTATATACGCATGAAGTTCAGGAAATAGACTAGTCTTCGGAAGGAAATTCCTAAGGAAGTGACTCTACAATCCCTGCAATATCAGAGGTCCAGCCAGAGGCAACATTAAAATTCCATCACTAATTGGTATTTCAGCTTGAATTTGGACAGAGTTCTCAAAATCACAATTTAGCTAATGGGTTTTGTTGAACTTCCACTGTCCCTTGAGCCAAATCTTCAGACTTGCTGTAAGAAATTCAAAGAGGTGACTGTGCTTCATATCTTGAAGATGTTAATGGAATGCCCAAGAACTTCCATTGAAGTTGACAGTATCTATCAGTTGCACTTCAGCAGCATCCAATGATCAGATGGCTGTTTCATACACTGAGTGAGAAACATGAATGTTCTTCATCTGAAACTCAGGAGAACTCCCAGTGCTAAAAACGTCACATACTCTATATATTACTTTTGCTGACCTGAACATGAGTTCAGCTGGAGGACCACAATGTCAATTGAAGTTCGTTTCGGAGAAGAAAATGATGTGTGGATAGGCAGTGAGCCCGAAGAGGTGTCTTAATATTGTCAGCATTGAGATACACTAAGAGAAGACTGTAACGATACTCTGCACCATAGGAGGCTGAAAAGAACAGGCAGGGTCCACTTTCTGGTGGACTGGAACTTCTAGCCAGCTAAAACTGGGACAAATCAGTGAAAAGAAACAATGCATTGCAAATTGTGGAATCTGAGACAACATAAGTTAACCCATCCTAAAAGGAAGTTTAAGTTCTGCTTTATCACTTCTCAAAACCTTAATCAACTTGCAAAATCCTGACATGCATCTGACAGCAGAAACACAAGCCCAGTCTTGCTTCATTTTTCAGTTTCACCTGATTTGGAATAACTCAGCTATCAGCAGTGCTTGTTTAGGGGGGCACTGGAGCGAATGTGGCTCTTTCACTTTACGGTCTGGTTTTCAATGCACTGCCAAGTGCTCAGATCCAAAGAGCCAGACCAAGTGAAGTTTTGCCATTCAAACCTGTTAAAAACCACATATTCCATGCATCCCATAACATGGTTTTGTTATGAAGGACAATACATAAATGTTTCTCCGAATATCTTGGACATTGCAAAAACACACCCAGGTAGTGTATATTCAGAGTCTGAAATGTAGAATAGAAAGGAATCAGATGGCTTGGAGTCATAGTACCAAAAGCATTTTATCTTCAAGTATCTTTTTCCAGACCAGAAATGGAAACAGCCAGTGGACAGCATCCATCTCCTAAAAGCTGTTTGATGTTCCTTGTAAAATGAATTTATTACAGTATATTTTTCTAGGCCATAGAGAAATGAGGAATCATCTCTGAGAGCACAGAAGATACTTCAACGCACAGTGTTAGCTGTTTCCTCCACATCAGTATGGCAGTCATCACCATCCCCCGTTAGAACAGTTAGCTCTTAGTCCTTTGTACCTGTGGATCGCAATGGTTTGAAGTGGAAGGTGAAACCTTTACATCTAAGTCAGGCAGAGAAGTGGTGTCGTAGTAACAACTTGCTGACACTGCCAGGGATCTTAATATATAAATGGGCTTTGGTGACAAAGCAGTCTGCCATATTAGTGAAGTTTAAAGCCTGCTCTGGAAGGTAGAAGAACGTTACCATGACACTCCATGGTCTAGAAGAAGACTTAGCATCTCCAGGGATGTGTGCTCAGCAGCTCCCCTCTGATGTGCACTGACATGGGCTTACGTGCTGGGTGAGATCCAGGTGCTACTGAAGTCACCACATGGTCAAGATTTTGGCTGCCAAGATTTGTGGTTATTCTTATCAGCAGTATGACATGTGGGAGGCAAATCAAGCCTGGGGCCAGCAAGAGTAACTGCAGATGGAGACAAATGCTCTGACTTCTCTTAGGGCTGAAATTAACTTCAGTGTTTGAAGTTAGTTGATGTTGAAATGCTGTCTAAAACAGAAATGGCTACTCTTTGAAACAGAGAAGCTCTGCAGTTGCGAATGTCTTGCTGCTGAGATTTAAAGACAACATGTTGCACATGGCAGCATACATAGTGTGAAGTCTGAACTCTTGAACTCCTGCTTTGGTTTTGAAGAAATCAGTTAATTTTTAAGGGTTGCACGCTTGGAATGCAGACTGCACATTTCCCACACCTGTCCTGCCTACTGCCACTATCAGATTTATATAGCCTGTGAGTCTACAAGTTTCCTTTTGGCCTTGATTCAGAAAAGTGCATAAGCACTGGCTCATTGGTAGTGATGGGAGAATTTCTGTTCCTTATGGAAGCCGTCCTGTGAGTCACTGCTGAGCACCTCAGGGGCTGGCACAGCCAATGCCAAATTGTCACAATTTCAGCTGCGGGTTGGCACCTGCCCATGGTGCCAGAGTGGGATTACCTCCAAGCCCCACTGGTGCATCACAAGGAGTTGGTTCAGGACTCCTGAATGCAGTTAGTTAAAAAAACAGAGCTGATCTTACTAACGCCAGCAGACAGTTTTCTGCCTCTGAACTGATGCATGTGCAGTGACAGCAGTTCCTACTGCTGCTTTTAAGGAAATCATCCCATGCCTCATAATAATGGCTGTGCTTATAGTACCCCTCTTTCCTTTCCCCAGAAGGGGCTAATGTGCCATTTCAAACACATGTTCTAAATCCTTTGGTAGGATATCGTCATACATGAGTATCTTATCACTGATTCTTGCCACCTTGGAGTACTATCTAACTCAGACATCACAATGACTGCTCAGTGTTTGGTAAGCCTGGAGAGCACATAGTCTGAGTTAACCTTATTTGTCTTCAGCTAAGATGCCACAATAGCCCTGACAGATCCATTTGGCACCTAAGGGAACAATTTGACCAAGCTCTTTTACATTTCTAATGTGTGTTTTGTATCAAAACCAAGTCCATCAAAAACCCTAAGCTCCTGAAGCCATTTAGATCAACTAAGAAAAGTGTTTCTCAGTGTTTTCTCTAAGTGGCCTGATCCAACACAGTGTTTTGCAAGCAGAATTGTACAAAGGGCACCTCCCTTAGTTGATTGATAGAGATATAGGCAGAGTGAGGTTTAAGATAGAAGATATTCTCCTTAAGAAGTCTTCTGCATTAAAGAAGAGTGGGCTTTAATGTTATTTAAGAGAATCCCCAAATGCTTCAGCTGAAAAGCTTGGAAAAGGTTTACATTTAGGCTGGGACATACCATTGAATTAAGGACAATTGAATATCCCTGTTCAGCTGATTCTCAGGTTGAACAGGACACTGGAGATTGGATCTGTGCTTTTTGATATTAGACTTCAAAGGCACAGAATCACATGTATGAAGCTCCTAAACTAGTATCCTGCAGACAGATGTAAAGATTATTAGCTAAAGCTAATCTTGTTTCTAGCTGGGAGCTGAGTCACACTTGGTTGGCAGAGCATGGGCAGGACAAATTCCAATTCCTTAGATGAACACAAATCCTACAGGTGTGACTCTCTTTAGGCCTATGTAGAGGAAGAAACTAGAGCCTCCTGGCTGATTTTGGGAGAGGCATAGCATATTGTTAAAATAGTTGAGATTATTCCCCTAAATTAATTATACCAGATTTAGAACCCAGTCTGACATGGACTAAAATCCTTGGGAAACTCACACCAACTTTGGTTTACATGTTCAGAACCCAGCTCTTCAACCTTAAACAGCATCTATGTCTAAGCAGCTGGAAATAACATCTACTCAACATTTGTCCCTTGGTTTGGGAAGGGGAAATTAACCACCCTAAGTAAAATCAAAAGCTGAACCACTGCAGCTAGTTCCTCAGACAGACTCTCATTGCTTGATTTCTCCAGTTAAGCAATAGGAAACAGTTCAAGTGAACTCCATGTATTCCTCAGCAACATCTGAGAGAATAACAAGGGTGGAAAGCAATGGCTAGTTTCCTGTTCAGCAGAATTTCACAATCATTTCGACATTTGGGCAGATGGTAATCTGACACAATTTCAGGCTGACTTTTCTTTCTGTGTAACCAAGTGACATGTAACCACTTGGAACTTATGAAGGGGTTATACACCCCAGGCTGCTTTCAGCACCCTAATGGAGAAGGTCCTAAACATGGTACCATTTAATCTGAGAACCTCAGACTCTCCATTTCCCCTTGCATTCACCAGAATGAATGACCGTGTTGAGAAGAGTCGATAACTTTAACCTGCAGGTTTGTTTTGTTCCTAATCACTGTTATTACATGTCCTGGAAAATGTATGGATTTCCTGAAACAGCTGCATATATAATCTTGTTCAAAATCATTGCAGCCAGTTTGCCAAAATCTTGTTTTTCACAAAAAGCTCATGAAGTGCCCAGGTGGATCTTTTACCCCCATGTGTAGATAGAAATACTGACATGTGGCAACTATTTGGCCAAGACTCATTAAACAGCTAGTACCAGAACTAAGACCAGCACTCAGGAGTTCTGTTTTCAAGGTCTGTTCTCTAGTCAGTCAACCTTATTTCAGGCTATCTCACCAAAATTTCAGGAACCCATGCAGATGGCTTTTCCAGTTCAGTTTTCAAATTGTCATTCAGTCTTTTAAATACCATAATTTCCACCATAGTGTAGAAATAAAGTGGTCTAGAGGATACGGAGAAAGTGTGCTTGGAACCTTTTCCCTATATATTAATAGATCTGTATCAAAAGCATCCTTCCATATACCCTGGGAGTTGATCACTTTGAAATAGAAAATAAATGCAGCACAAGTGACCGGATTAAACAAGCAGTTTCTAAAGACAGTAATAAAATAAACACACTGAGATATTTCACAAGTACAGACCCACTTGTAGTCCTGCTGGAAACATTTTAAAAATGAAGGGGCTTGGTGCTTTAGAAGGAGCCAAGAGAAAAGTGGCCACTAGTTCAAATCCAAAACAAAATCATTGTTTTCCTCCTTTTCCTTAATTTGACAGCTTTGGGGGAGTCTAAATTCATTTGGCCTGAGCCAGTGCTTGCCAGAAGACTGTGTGAATATATGGACCCTAGCATGAAATAGGTTTTTGTTCCTGGAGGTGATTGCCTGCAATAAATTAGATGTTTTGAGGCACTATCTTTACAGTATTTTCCAGGTACTGAGCGGAAATGCTGATCCCATTCAACAGCATCACTCAGAATGTCTTTTTCTCTCATTCTTAAAAGACTATTGCAGCACAGGCAAGCTTCAGTCCTTGCTGACAGAAAAGACGACCTGACTGGCGTTACCCCCTTCTTTTATGGGAGCCATTACTAATGCAGGTTTTTCCCAGACTCTCAAGGATAGTTAGCCACCACCAGTCTTGTCCTCTTTGTCAGCTTTCTGGACTCAGAAAGTCCCTGTTTGGAAATTACTCAGTGTTTTCCCAGAAGAGATTTGGAAATGTCTCAACTTCCTTCTATGAGCATCCAGCCTCAAAAGCATCTCCACTTGAGGGCAGGGGCTGCTGCTTGCACTCTGATTGTGCTGGGTTCTGTGTTTTATTCCCCCAGTCTCTTTTAAACTGTCAATAAAATCAGTAGGAGCTAAGTGTGCACATGCTGTGGAGGACCTTGCCCTGGGCAGACCCAGTAAACTCTGCAAACAGCAACAGCTTGTTGTCTAGGCTGTCAGTCACAGAACACAGCACCCAGATCATCAGATAACATGGAACAGAGCAGCTTCTTGTTCAGACTTGTGCAGATATTTACCTGCCGTGGAAGAAAAAACCTGAATAGGTTTTGAGCATTTGCACTTACAAAGGAAGATCTATCTGGTGGTCAAATGACCATGGGATTCAGGCAGCAGTGGGTGTTCAAACACTCTTTGTCTGAAGTCATTTGACTCAGTGTAAGAGGTGCTGCTGAGTGGTTTTTTGTGGGCTTAGCCTAGAAATGATAGCCTCGGTCGTTTTTTGTGAGTGCTGCTCTACACATCTTCACTCTGCTACGTTTGAATCTAGCTGAGACTTGGGAACCTCTGTCATAGATTTGGCTTGATTAGAAGTTCTGGTCCTGGTTTAAAACTACTTAATTTGTTGTCAGGGAACTACCATGATAATAAATGCCTGTGGACGTACCCAAAATACCAGCTCTGGGATTTATGGCAGTGGTTTACCCTATGGCTCAATCTAGCAATTAACCTGCAAACTCCAGTTAAGTCAAACCCACCCAGGTTCTTACTAGGATGTGCTGGGATTTGCTGCTAGGGTGTGCAAATAGGGGGATGCTGTAGGAAGACTTTTACAGCTGAAGCAGTATCACATCTCCACAAGCTGTCATATAGACTGTCCCGGAGAAAAGAGCAAAACTCAGGGTGACTTGGAACATTCAAGGGCTCCTTGGGCCTTTCACAGATGTTAGTATGGCTGGTCAGGATGCCAAGACTACCTGTCTGCCTGGTTAATAGCCCTGCTGCCCTGAAGGAGAAGCCAGAGGCTGGGAAGTCTGGAGCTCTATAAGAGGCATCTCCGTCCACAGCTCCAGGACAACCACAGTTTTTGGCAGGATAAAGAATAGGATACATGAAGGCAGAAAAAAACACTTGCTATTAAGAAGTAAGCCAATAAACATTAATTCTGGTACTCCTCAGTGTCCTGTCTGGCCCTCTTGGCTGTGTATTTCTACAGCTTTCAAAGTAACAGCAACACTGCCTTCCTTCCCAGGCTTTTCAGGGACGTTTTTCATGCACACACATTTCCTTATGTGGTTAGAGACAATCCCATGGTTTCCTTTCATCTGAGAGAATCTGCCTCCCATTTCATAAGCAATCCCTACTCTCTCATGTGCAGTGAGGCTGCTCTAGATGACCAGTGCAGCCACCAGAGGCTGGTGGAGTGGTTGCTTCTGGTCCCACGTAGGGCTTTGTGTAGCAGGACACAAATTAAAGCTGGAGCCTTATCAGTAAAGTCCAGGTCGTCGAGGCAAGGGGCTAAGAATAAACTCTGATGCTTAAAAGGCAAATCATTACTGTTTGCAGCAGGTTGTAAGGCATTAAATTAAGGTGCTTTATTGAAGCTGAAAGCATTACTTGTGTTTCTCTTCACCTTGTTTTTTCTGTGTATGAAGATGTCCATGGGACCCTGCTCAATTAAATGTGACATGGTGGCTTTTGTGTCCAGTTCCTGGTAGGAAGCACTTCAACATAACCATCTGGGAGAGCTTCTCTCTAATTCTGATAACAGAGGGAGAAGTTAACTGGGCTGCCATAAAACAAATAAAGAGAGAAGAAAAAGGAAACCCCAGTGCCTTTTGTTAAGGAGGAACAGATGTAGGGCTGTAGCAGCCTGCCAGCTAGGTCAGGTCATATCAAATATTGTGGTTGTTTTCTTGTAGCCTGATCCTCCTTTTGAACTCTCTTTCAGCAATGAAGTTGTAAGGAATGAATTAAAGAAGCTGCCAGCGCTTCCAACACCAGCACTGAAGGAGCATCCCTCCCTTGCTTACTGGTAACGTATCATGCTGCTGAATGGCTTTTGCAGTGTCTTACACTGTTCTGGCTCTGGCAAGAAGTGATCTGAGAGTAGAACTGGGATGCAAGGATTCCTGCCTTCTAGCTCTGAGTCTGACACTGACTCATTGCATGATTCAACACAAGCAGAGCTCCCACCCTAGGCCTCAGTTTCCCCATCTGCCAAATGGCTGCAGAAATATCTGGCCGAAATATTCGTTCTAAACATGTAAGTGTCCTGATGAAATCAAGAGGCTTAATGTGCCATTTCCTTTCCCAGCACTTTGCATCTGTGCAAAGAGTTTCCCCAGTTTGAAATATCAATGCTTTGCACTGCTCTGTGCTATTATTGAGTAACTGAGTTTCGTCTTGCAAGGATCTCTCTATGGCAAAGCTGAACTAAAAGGGATTTATTTCTCCTTTTATATGAATGAGGTGATGTTTGGAGTTGGATGCATGGGAGCTCTGTCTTTATTACACTGAAAATTAAACCCAGGGTAGGAGCAGGGTCACAATTAAGGCCCCACACATAGATTCTTTGTGCCGCCCTGCCTATGCCTTTTATCTGTGCAAAAAAGAAAAAATTTGGGGAAAGACTTCGTGAATGGGGAGATGCTTTCACTTGATTTTCTGTTTGTTCCTCTTTCATGTCTCCCTTTAAAGTATTAGGCTATAAGCCTGGGGGTGGGAGTGAACTTCTTTATCTGTTACCCTTAATTTCTGCATCTTGGTAATCTGAGGATGGCAAGGGGAAACAAATCCATTTGTAGTTTAAGTTCTCAATTCTTCCCTTTGCCAGGAATGCCATCCGCTTTTCCTAGCATGGCTACAATACCAGAATTAGCTGTACCTCATGTCGACCTGTAGGCAAGCTGGGCTGTGAGGTCTCCAAATCACTTTCTGAGCACATCAGGAGATATTCGGGGTCCCCAGCTGAGTTTAGGAACACTGAGGCAAAAGCTGTGGATCATCACAGTCTTCTGGTGTTTCTGTTTAAGAAACAAACCAAATCTTTATGAAAAATTGATAAATGTAGGCTGCCATTCACTGGAAGAAGAATGGGCTCCCTCTTCAGAGCATTGCTTTCCTTCTTCCACAAACAAATCCACACACTGACAAGCAGTACACTTCCAGCCTGGTCAGATTGACACATTGGTAGCTCCCACTAAAAGCCACCTCAGGAGGAGTAGTGGGAACAAGTAGCCATGGGCAGGGAAGGCAAATCTGACCCTTCAGCAGCAACATGGACTTGAGGGGCCTGCCCCCACTGCTGGCAAGTGTTAGTCAACATGCCAACGTTATGGACTTCTGATGGAAATCTCAGTGAGGTCTGGGACTGTTTCTGTCTGTAGGACAGTCTCCTTGGGCTTGGGCTCCACTGAGTCACCTGAAGCAAGAAGGGCTGTATAAAACCTCATGCTGAGAATGTATTTACAACACACAAGGTACAGCACTTCTTGGAGCTGTACTTCATGTTGTGGAAGTTCTTATGTGACTGAGGAAAGGTCACAAGTTGGGAAGCTGGTTGTTACCAATGCAGTAATAAAACCAGTGGCTACATCCTGTGACTCCCTTGTGATTTCACTTCAGTAACCAGGTCTGAGACCTCCTATACATCAGTAGTTCATTACCTTTTAATGGTGGCTTTTTCATAAATACCCTCTGAAACACTGAATGCTCTTAAGACTAGGCTGCTGGTGAATCAGACAAAGCCTCTAAAGTATAGACCGACCTTCAGTGATCTAAGAGGACAGGTTTTTAGAACTGTGTATAGAACATACTCTGTACCAATTTCATCCTGTTCAAATTTCATCCTGCTCTTTTCTGTGTGCAGTCTGTTTCATGCTGCAGTTCTTCAGCATTTTCTCAAAGCAGTGACAAGTGAATTTCCAACTGCAGAAAGAAACATTATAAAACATTAGGGATGGGATGGCTCTATTTAAAAGTAAGCAACCAGAAGAGCTCTGTGCTGTATTTGTTTCAGATAAAATGGACTAAAAGGCAGGTGATAAAATAGATAATCAAATAGATCTGCAGGAAATAATATAACACTTCCATCATACACTGTTAAAAAGTTGCTCCTATCAAACACAGTAAGACCAGTGGGATGAGTCCTGAATTCTTAGATGCAGAAAGGGCTGCATCAGCCCAGGTTGATGCCTCCAGCTCCACCTTCACTGAGTCTTGTTTGTGTACTCTTGCTGCAGGCCTTGCCCTCCACTGTAACTCCTTGGATGATTGTAGACTTCACAACAAAGTGGAAGGTTGTAATTTTCATATTAAGTTGCCTTTTCCAGATTTCTACAGATTAAGAAGAATCAGATGCTTGTTCTCAGGCATCTCTTAGCATCACTGATTACTGGTGAAGCAAGAAGGGGCTTTTTGGTGGGTTGGTTTGTTACGGTTTTTTCCTTGTAAATGAAAACTGAGCTTCTGGTCCTCCCACACAGTCCAGAAGCCAGGGCCCTGAGCTGTGATTTCTCTTGCCATGCATGGAAACAACTGACAGTGTTTATTGTTTTAGACACAAAACTAAACAGAGAGACTGGAGAGAACCTTTAGAAATTGTGTTAACACACAGTGCTCCTTTGCAGCTACTGTCATTCCATTTTATCTCAATTCAGATCCTCTTCAGCAAGCCAGCCCAGTAGTAGGTTGTCAGTAAGAAGGCAAGGAGGAGATGCAATAGTGCAGATGGGATTTTCAACAGACCAGGGGGAAGATAGACCTCTCTCAGCTCCCAGCAGACTTTGAATGCAAGCTTAGTTTTAGCAACCTAAAGCATCAGCATTGCCAGAAAATCCACCTCTGAAACTCAACCTTTAGTTTCTCTAACATAACACAGACCTGAGCTTGGACCCTTTGGCCCAAGAGACGCTCTGCTGGCTTCAGTGCGACAGTGTATGACTGCAGATAAAGACTTTAGTAAGTTCATGAATATAATAAAAATGGAAAAATCAGGTTAGAAACAAAACAACAGTAAGGAGCAGCAATGAGTAGATAGCTACTTAAAACAGCTCAGTGTGCTGGAAGGGGGGGGTGGGGGGACAATTATGTTTGAAAGTCTGGATCTTACAATGAGAAACTCTGGCCCTGCAATTGCTTGCAATTTGTCTGCTGTCCAGTTCTGTAAACTGGTGGGGCAGGAGGGATTTCTTGGTGGCTGTAGAGATCTCTATCCAAGCTGTTTGCTGCAGGATATCATCCATCTATTAATTTGTGCAGTGCTAGGGGGAATGTTTTATGAGCTGGCAGACAGATGGTAGTGCTCCGGCAGCCTCCGTGTCTCCACATTAGGTAAGCATCCTTTGTCAGCCCTGTGCTATGAATGAGTTTCTGTGTCACTGCTGCAGCAACAAGGCAGAGCAGGGGGAGGGGGGACATCAGCTGGTGCTCCAGGGGTGTCCCAGCACTCCCCCAGCTGTCCATAGCACCATGGCAGCCGCTTGGAGATGAACAGCTGAAGTGATAGGGGACAACCTCCATAAGCTCTTCTAATGCTCCTCTGACCCGTGAATCGTTTTGCTTGTTTTCACTGACACATGCCAGGCTCACCTCTGTGTCCCAGAGCTGGAGGCAGAAAGTGATCTCTGTGCTGGATGATCCTTCTTGCACAGGGCAGGGGGAATGGAAATAAAGTTCAAAGAACTGTTAGAGCAGTGACTGTCACACAGCTGAGGTGGGATTCTCTTCATCAGGGACTGTAGTGGTAGAACAAGGGGTGATGGGTTAAAACTTAATCAGGGGCAGTTCAGGTTAGATACAAGGAAGAAGTTCTTTACTGTGAGGGTGGTGAGGCACTGGAGCAGGTTGCCCAAAGAAGTGGTGAATGCTCCATCCCTGGCAGTGTTCAAGGCCAGATTGGACAGAGCCTTGGGCAACATGGTCTAGTGTGAGGAGACCCTGCCCACGGCAGGGGGTTGGAACTAGATGATCTTAAGGTCCTTTCGAAACCAAACCATTCCATGTGACCAGGCATGTTTTCTCAGTGTAGACCTCTCCATCTGAGCGAGGCACCCCCATCTCCCTCTGCTGTCAGTGGAGAGAAGCAAAAGTAACCTCCTCCCAAGGAAGCCACCTGAAATAGACTGGATAAATTGTGCTCAGGAGTACCTGTTTCTGTCCCTAAAGTGTGGCCAGCCCAGTGTTCTAGACGGGTGAAAGGCAACATATCCTTAAATATTGGTGGCTTGATTGGTAAACTTTATTTGTCCAAAGAAAGAAGAAACAAGAATGATTCTTATCTGCTATTTAACATCTGTAGACCTTAAAATGTTATACAATGGAAAGGAAGATCATCAGTACCCTAACAGAGCAATGGAAGCATAGGGTTGCCTGCATTTGTTCAGGAGAACTGGGTAGAACCTGGACAATCCCACATCTTCTAGTATGGGTTGAGAACACAACTTCTTTCATCCCACTGTTCAGGAAGGATCCCTGACATCTCATGTGTCCTTTGAAAGAAAGGGGCCGTCGATTGGCTTCCCTACCCAAGGGATATGGTCTGGGAACATATCCATCAGTTTATAAGAATCATTTTTAAGGAAGCAGCACATCTGGAATCACATCAGATAATCAGCATGTAGGCGCATCTATCCTTTTCTTGAATGGCATCAGTATTAGATCTTGGTCTGTACAATAAATGCACAGAGTGGAAACCAAAGTTATGAGCATTTTCCACTGGAGAAACACCATTGTTTTCTGAGAAGTCACTCTTGATTTGTTCCTCTCTGAGACAGAGAGGAATTGAATCCACATGTAATCATGTTTTTAAGAGGTAATTTCAAAGGGCTGTAAGCCCTCTCTGTCTGTCTTTTTTATTAAGAATGATGTATTTTGGAGATCTTCCAGTACTGAACACTCATGTAATTCAGTTATTGCTCCAAAAGTAATCCTGTTTATGATAATCATGGCAGGAGACCGGGGCTCTGCCTTCATGTGCATGCCCATAACATCTGTGGTATTTGCTTGGATGAGTGGTCTGAATATGGTTTCATAGCTGTTGAATTTACAGCTTACAGACCATTTCCTAAGCATTAAAATTATTCTGAGGGGTATGATGGGAGAGCCAGACCATTCCTTTCCCCAAGTAATTTGTCACTGACTCAGGCACCACCATGTACCTATTGTGGCCTGCTGGTGGGACATCACCTTAACCCCAGAAAAGCCCTTTTATTTTTGCAGGATGAGTGGGGAAAGTCACTTGGTGAGTAAGGACAGCAGTTACTATTAGGCAAATGGCAGGCTTGTTGAGGAACAGTTTACTCTGCTGACAGTCCAACAGACCGTCTACTTTGAATTGCTCTGTGCTGTCTACACTGAGGTTTCTGGTCCTCTCCCTGCATCACCAGGGATGGATGCACAGTCCTCAGCTCCCCTGTGTCAGGCCCCACATCGGCACATCTTGTTTGTCACCTCACAATGCAGTTTGTCCTGCTTGTGATGCCACAGAACAGAACATCCTGTGTGTGATTTCACAGCAGACTCTGTGTGGCCTCTACCTGTAACATCCTTGAGGGCATTACGAAGGCTGTGCCCGGCAGAGGAAGGGGAGCTTCCTTGTAAAAGAAATTCTGGCTCAACACAGATCTCTCTGGCACAAAGATGCACATGGGGAAGGCAGCAATGAGCACACACAGCCATGTTAACAGGGCTAGTGAAACACTTTGCAGTTTGCCACAAAAGTCCCCATGGGCATCTCTGAGCAGTCTCAGTGAGGTCATCCACCAGACCACCCCACACTCCTCTGCTTCTTCACACTGTCTAGCAACAAAAACAGCTTCAGTTTTGTCTGAGGAAGGAATAACGGCATGGTGGACATCCGTGTGGCTGCCTTTAAAGGCCCATTAGGGGCTCCATCTGGACCTAGGAAATGAAGGGAGAGAGGAATCTCAGTTCACATTGGCCTAAACCACATGCAGCATGATGGCATTAGACAGACACTTGGGACTACTGGAAGCTTATGCTGTGCCAGGTGGGGAGGGCACAAATGTGGCATAAAGGTAGTTTAAGTTTCCTTCCTCTTGGACTGGCAAAGTCTGTACAGTATCTCTAGGGGTACTCAACAAATTTCCCAGTCTTGGTGTTACAACACTAAGAGCAAGAGATAGGGTTTAAACCTGAGGACTTGAGTATTCTGTCATGCCAGTGTAACTGAGCTAGCCTTGTGGGCATTACATTGCTGGAAGTTAGAGTAGAACCACAGTCAGACCAGTCTGAAAGTACCAGGCCTGGAGGCTGCAGTAACTTGCATGGCTGAAGAGAGGAACATGATTGAAATCAGAGAGCACTGTGAACCTTCAAAAGGAGATCCTTGGCTTTTAGTGTGACCTTGTTGCACAGCTTATTTTATACATCAGATAGCTCTGTCCCCATTCTCTCCTGCTACCCATTCACTGGAGAAGAAGGAATGAGGTTTTTTAAAAATGAACTTACATATGTCTCTTAGTCTTTTATTTTGGGTCATGCTGATATGCTCTTGGATGCTACATCTCTACCGTGTATAGGCGAATGTCTCAACATGCATTTATCAAACACCCCCAGAACTTTTCTCTGACACAGAGGCCCACTGGTGTGGAACAGACTCCATCTATATCTTAATATAGGTGTCTTTGTCTCTAAAGCAGTGTTAATAATGAACCCTGGACCATGCTAATTCCAAATACATACCCAGGAGTCGCCTAGGGGAATGCAAGTTAGTACAACCCAAAAGTAAGCAAAGGCACATTAGTACTTTAACAGTAAAGGGACCCAAGTCTGAGTGCCTTGGAAACATTTCCTGCCACTGTGTAACCTGCTGGTACAGACGTTGCCCCTGTGGACACTAGGAGTTCAAATCCTTGCTGAGAGATTGCTCCAGAGCACTTCCACTAGTGTTCCTGGACATGGTTTTGTGCAGTTGCAGTTGGAACTAATCTGTGAGGCCTAGGGATGTTCCTGGCTAGCACTTTCTGAAAGCTTTGCTGGCTTTCAGACAATGTGGTGGGCTTGGGAAGAAGTTGCACCAGTCAGGACAAAGCAGAGCTTGAGCAGTTCCAGCACAAATCTTGTTTGTCATACAATGTAATATCATGGACATCATTTGTAGGTAAGGAAAGTAATGCATAGAGGGGAGAGTCTGTACAAGAAGATAATGTGTTTGTGAGTAAAAAAGGGTTCTTCAGAAAACCAGCTCATAGAAAACCACTTTTATTGTCAGTCTGTGAGTCCCCCTTGTTTACCCTGGGCTGTATCAAATCCTCTTCTCTAACACTTTTGCTTGGCATCTTTTGATTCCCTCTGTCAGTAGCTGTATAAACAGAAGTATCTCTACACTTTCTGGCAAGGTTCTTAGTCTGCCACTGAATAAAACATCTAATTTCTTCCTTTCCAGTGAGGATCGAGTCATTGAACATTACAAGAAACTAAATGGACAGACAAGAGGTCAAGCAATTGTGAAGTAAGTGAAATAAGTGACTTCTTTGTTTTACCAGGATATAATTATACAGGGCTGTAAAGACAATATGTAACAATGTCTCCCATCTCATTAATGCTTTATTTGATGTATTTCCATACTTTATTATTTTTAATATTTTTTTGTTTTTTAATTTATTAATTTAAATAATTTGTTACAGCATTTTTCAGAACATCCTCTCAGTTCCTCAGACATGTTATTCTCTTGTGTTGTTTTGCAGTTACATGAGCATTGTAGAATCCCTCCCAACATATGGAGTGCATTATTACGCAGTAAAGGTACGTGCCACAAAAAGGGTCATTTATTGAATTAAACTGTTGTTGGAGGGAGGTACAAATAACCATCCTGCTTTCAGAATACAATACACTGCTACTAAAGTCTCGTTTCACTTCCTGTGGTAGGATAAACTTATTTCAACAGTGTAGTGAATGTTTGGTAAATACAGCTCCAAAGAGGAAAATCCTGTTCTTGAAGATAAAAACTCTTATAGTCCTATTGTGCTGGACTTACTCAGACCATAAGTAGCAGCAAGATCTGGGGATACCAGTGAACCAACACCAACATCACTGGTGCCAGGTCACTGGCAAACTCAATTCCTCACTCCTTTTTGTAGTTCCAGGAGGTCAGATTTCTCCCAGCTGGCAGACCCATGAGCAACTAAGGCCAGCCATGACCTGCAGCTCCCTTCACTTGAAATATAGGTAGATGGATGCAGATACAGTAAATCTTTTTAATGCCAAATCATTGTCCCATACTCCTAAAGATAATACACGCCCTCCCCAAACAGCTCTCTGCTTCTATGTAGATTTAATGCAGGTATTCATGGACTCCCTCTTTTGTCTAATGATTTATCACCAGATCTTCCAGTCTCATATAATTAGTATTACTTCCCAGCTGTGTAAGGCTGTTTTTTACTTTTTTTTTAAGTAGAGAAATCAATAAGCATATAAAGCAAGCTAGATCCACTCCCCAGAGCATATTCCCTCATCTATCACCCCTGAAGTTCTGATGTGTTTCCTCGTTATCTCTCTGCACAGACTATATGGCTTTTCATACATCTGTAGTGTGTTGAACACATGGGGTACCATAAAAACACAAATATCTGACAGTAACTGAGTCATTTCTAGTCTATTCCTTCTAATGTGTGTCACATTTTGTGAAAAGCATTAGCCTCATCTTTTGCCAGAGGTCAGGATCCCTCCAGCTCCCTTTGCATCCAGATCTCTTGGACTACTCTAGATCAAGAAAAAAATGGTGGATTGGGCTGGGTGTTCAAGCCTGCAAACAACTGAGAGCTGTTCCAGTGAACTCCCCATGATCAATAGGTACCAGTGAGCAGCAATGAGGCAGCAAATATTGTCCATAATAGGTTTGGCTCTGACTGATGTGGAGGTTTTAGTTCTGCTGCATTTTACCCCGCTATTCTCTATCACATTAACAGAACAAATGTAATTTCATTGAGGACTCCAGTTCAGTAAATTGCAAAGAGGCTGGTATCAGATATCAGCCATTACTCCATAAGGTCATTTTATTGCACACTCAGACACAAAGCAGTTGACTCCAGGCCTGTCAGACCTTATCACTTGGTAGCTCTCAGATCCCATTACTGCTGCATTTTCAAGATTCATGCTAAGATCCCTCCACATAATTCAAGTCAGATGGGTGCTTTGCTTTCCTTTCTCTCCCATCTGAATGTTCAAAGTGAATAATTTACAGGGAGGAGAAAGAGGATGCACCACAGCACAAGGGACCCATGTCAAATCTCTCTACCTCCCTCAGCAGCATTTTGAGTACCCTGGTCACGTCTGATGCATTTTAAGTGGTTTTATATATATATGATGGCTAAAACTGAAACAGATCTCTCCTAAACACCAGGGAGCTTTGTGAGTTGAGGAAATTCAGCAGGGATAAATATAACAGCACTAGAGATATTGCTTAAAAACAAGTACTCACCTTGAATAATAACCTAGGAAATCTCCAGCATTTCCCCATCCCATTCAGTATAACTCCCTCTGTTCTTTCTTCCAGGACAAGCAGGGAATTCCTTGGTGGTTAGGACTTAGCTACAAGGGGATTTTTCAATATGACTACCATGACAAAGTGAAACCAAGAAAGGTAAGTGCTTACTTTTCTATCAAGGTCTGGGCTTGCCACACATGTTATAGCTTGATTTGAGGGTGTGATGTACAAATGTTGGCATTGATCCATGTGATTTTGAAGGATGTTGATTTTCTCCCAAACTTGCCTGAATGTCTGCAAAGAATTAATGGACAAAAGTAGCTCTTCATTTATCAAATGATATGGTATGGGGGTAAATAAATGTCACTTAATCTTGCAACTTACACTTCTTTCTGGCGTGGTTCATAAGACATAAATGGGAACTGAAGGACTGATTCTCTCGGGTGCTGGAGGCTTTCCATCCACTGCCTCTGGTGGGATTGATGGTGTTCAGCCAACCCTTGATAGTGTATTATCAAGCCAATGATCTGAGAGAGAGAAAAAGAGACAGGAAGGACTTTTTCTTTTTAAAAAAATGGCATTTTTTTTCCCAGGAGGAGCATTACATTTGATAAGCAACAGTTTTATTAACCGAAGAGTTAATGTCAAGCTAGCAGGGAAAGATGACTTTGACCATATGCCTAACAAAAAGGCATGAAAAGGTTTGTGCCCAGTATCTGATTTGTTTAGGAATTTTCCTTTTAAATAGCTCACAAATCCAAGCATGGCATGCACAGATCTGATTACAAACCCAGGGCTTGGTCAGTGATGCCATGTCAGTCTGGTCTCATTATTCCTATTTTCAGTGAAGCTTTCAGTGCATCTGAAAATCAGAATTTCTCTCAGTCCTTCCAAACTGCGTTTGAGAAATCCAGCTAAGGAATGTCTTGTTCATTTGGGAGGAGGAATGTTTTGATCCTCTGAGCCCATCCAACCCATGTGTTGTGATTTTCCTACCTCGGATGCCATCTAATATAGAAAGAGCTCCTCTCCGAGCACATGCCCTGTAGGTGGGCATGCACAATCTGTTAGCAACAGAATTTGTTGTACTGCAAACCCATGGAGATATCAGGAGGCAAGGTTTCAGGCTTGCTTGCAGGCTGCAGAACTGGATGATTGGGAGCAACTAGGCAGCAATTCTATGGATGCAAATGCTTCCACACTGAATTTATGTACTGCATTTCTCTTTGCATTGCCTCTGTGCCAAGATCCCTCCTCCCTTTCTTTCACCTCCTCTGATCACATTCAAGTAGGACACTGCCTGGTGCTCACAGATAGCATCTTCTATTAAAATATATTAGAATCAAGGTTTTGGTAGAAAACAACTGCTAAGGAGACAGCAGGGAAAATAGGTGTATAGATTAGCCTTTTATTCAATGAAGGCTATTTATACTTTGAATGAAGGGACAAGGAGGGTACAGAGGCCTTCACAGAGTATCTGTGCTCTAAAAGACACACCTATTTGGGATCAATCATTGCCTGCAGGGCAAGCCATACGCACACATGATAGTTTCAGACATGCCCAGGCGAGGTGTTTGCACCCACATATCTCCGTTAGTGCCAACCCCCCAGGGAAGACATGCCCTTAAAAGATGCCTTCAGAAGTCAAGTCTTAGTAATAGAAACATTTCTGTGAAGGAAAATAATGGCTCGCCATGACAGGACTCAGCCGTTCACAAGCTATAGTCATTTTTATCAACCCTGATGGGATTAAGAGGTTAATGGAGAGCATCAGAAGAAAGAAGAGGTCAGGTACTCTGACTGTATGACATGAGACAGGCATTTCCAATAGAAGACTCAAGCCTTCTTTTCAGCTTCTCTATTTCGTCTTCCTCTTAGCCACTCGGGGTGATCATAGCATAGGTTTTAGAGCTTGATAACATTTTGGCCAGTCTCTGTGTCCCCATAACTTACCTCTAGCTTTCACATTGCCCCTCGAATCAGGGGTTATAGGATCTCCTACCCTTTTTCTGTAAGTGTAATCCTAAAAAATTGTAATTTTTCTCTTTATTGGGAGAAAATGATATATGAAATCCAGGAGACCCAAACCAGTGGTGCCACCTTATGTATAAACCACTGAGAAATTATGTGGCTTAGCAGTACTGGTCATAAATCTGGGAGGGAAGGCTGTGTGGAAAGGGAAAGCAGGAATTTCCGGGCTTGAATTTGTCCATTGCCATAAGACAGAGACCACAGCAGAGAAAAGACAGCCTAAATGAGCATTTCTCTGTTACATGGTGCTTGCAAACCCCATCTGTTGGCAGGGCTATCCCAAAATGTGCAGCCTAAATCAAGGAGAGAACTTGTATAGAGTGACTTGCATGGAGCACTTATACCCTCTGCAGAGCAAATAGGAAGGCTTCTTACCCTACACAGGTGGTAAAACCCCTCTGGCAAGAGAGGCTCAACTGCCTCAGTGAGGCACAAGGTTTAATCCTCTGCTAATTAGATTGTAAAATTGCACTTGATAACCCTGCTGTCTGGGAGCTTACCACAGTACCTTCATTTCACTACACCAGAATGGGCTGGTTCGAGCCTTTGCTGTGCAAAGGGGAGGGGTAAACCTTACTGAACTTTCTGAAAGCTCAAATGGCGGGGGGGAGGGAGGTTATGTCTCCTCTGATCTTTATTATGGTGTTCCTGCACATTGCCAATGCCAGAAACAAATTGAAAAATTACAATGGAAAAATCATTCTCCTTGGAAGAAACACAAGCAGAAAATTGTAGCAAGAAACCAACCTAAACCAAGATATATTTACATTAAATGCATATAAAAACCTTGCTTGTTTTACAAAGAAGTTTGTAATGTTTTCCTATATGTCATCCTAGATAGATTTTCATGCTTATTGTGTTTGCAAAGAAAGCTGTAACCCACACTAAGCAGCTGAGCCTGTATCTCAGTCAATCCCATTAGCAGTCAGTCAAAACCCTGGTTTTATTCAATTGCTGGAGTAAATCAGCCATGTGTCTCTAGAAACTTAACTAGGTTTGTCAGCAAGTTGGATGGGTCCAGAGAGGAGAATTGAGGCTGACACAAGGTCAGAACCTGATCTTGCTTGTGCTGTTCTCACTCAGGCAGAAGTCCTCCAGCATTACAAGGGATGCAGCTGAGATGGGGATCTGGCACCAAGACCGAGGTGGTTCAGATGGGAATGTAGGGCTATTAAACTGGAATGCAGCTTGTGCTGGGGTGCAGAGCCTAATGTGGCTCAGTGCTTCTACTTTTCTGTTCCTCCTGCCTGTGCTTGAATTCCATGGAAGCCCTGCAGCTACCAAAAGCCATCACTTTGAAGCTTATCATTCTCTCTTCCATATGTTCAGGGGCTAGCTCACAGACTCAGCAAGCCCTGCCAAAGGCTTCCTTTTGCATGTTGCCTGTGTGAACCCAGATACTGTCCATATCAGTTATGATCTGGTAGCTATTCATTCTTAGGTATTAAATAAATGCAAGAATTTGGGTATACTCCACAAAATCCACCACTGCAGCTGAACAAGAAGGAGGGAGTGTCAAGTGAGGAAGGATGGCCGCTGTCCTGCTAACCATATGCTGAGGCATTCTGGAAGTTCAGTAGCAGCTTGTAGAACCAGTGTCATTTTTGTAGCTCAGAACACAGCATCCAGATGGGTAGAATCCATCTCCCTCTCTGTTAAACAGAGCTTCTACAAACTCTTCCCTGTGAAAAGGCCCTTCAAGGCTTGGCATGCCCTGAAAAGCCCAACAAAAAGGAATTATCTTGCTGGGCTCTACCCACCTTGGATCAGCACCATCCAATATTCATGATAAACCAAAGCAAAATCTTTGGAACCAGGTCTTCAGAGAGGATGTGCCAGCACCACTCTCCCACGAGCCACTGAGGCTGGAGTGAACAAACCCATCATTCTCAGTGAAGGGTCATTTGGGGTTTGTTCTGGAATTGCAATTGGAGAGCAATTGGAAAGAAAGAGCAAGGCATAGCAGCCCCCTGAGTGGCTCTATTGCCTGTGAGTGACGGCTGCTCATTTTAACCAGCAGGTAGGGGTGTAACTCCATCCCTAGAGACCGGTACATGCAGTAGAAGCAGCATAGCCGGGAGCTGTGAGACCTGCATGCCCAAGCAGTTGTAGTAGCACCAGGCATATCTCTGTTGTTCTAGTGAGATATTCCTACTGATTTAAGAGCCCAAAGGCATCTTTTAGTGCATACAGCTTAACAGTTAGTAAACAGTTCACTCCAAGCTGAAGAGTGAATTATTAACAAAGGCAGCCAAAGGACTTCCATATGGCCAATACACACAGAGAGAAAATGTTTAACTTGTCACCAGAAATAAAATCATCTTAAAGTGGAGTCTGATAGTGTTTGTTTGCTTTGCAAGAAGTACCCATTTTCTTCGCAGAGGGCTAGTGGCAATGAAACTTAAGATGAGCCTTTTTTCTCAGGCTCATACGCATTATCAGTGTTCCCATTCTCTGGGTGACTGAACAGAACCCAAGGGGAATAAAGACTTTTGGAAATAAGATATCCCAAGATTCAGCTGTGAATGTGGCTTGACAAAGATTCTCCCCGTGACAGCCAAACATCAGTTTCTGCCATTTTTTCCCAGTGTTATCCTTTCTTTGAGATGAAATGAAGCATGCTATGAAAATACTCTGTCCCTTCCCATAAGGTCTGCACAATGCTCTATGGATTCTCATTACAGAAGAATTTCATTTGTTGTGAATCCAAAGCAACAGTTACAGATTGATTTCCCATTTAAACATGCAAAACCAACAGCTGAGTTGGACACATCCTACTGTAAAATGCAAAGTCAAAGTAAAATCAGGGGCTTTAAGTGTCTGATCAGAGAGAAATCACCTGCTTGTCCAAAGAATGAGCAAAGTAATCAGCACTTTCTCTGTCCAGAAAGTGAAAGATCATTGTGTGATGTTACTTGGCCTTTTCCATACAAAAGATAGAGTGAGCTTTCCCAATTCCAGAGGCAAAACTGAGCTATTTACACAGGAGGAGCACCAGCCTAATTAAGAGCTGGTTTATTGCAGAACAAATAGAGATCCTCTCTGCTGTAGGGCATAATGAAGCCCGTAATTGCATTGATGGAGTGGTTAAACTTGTGTTTCCTGTGGTGAAGGAATGACAGACC